GCCGACTACTCTCCGTCTCAGTGCTAACTGCCCCATCTTACTAAAATTAAGCCCCTTCCCCGACTGCATGGAGAGCCGAAAAATATGAAATTTGAAACGAAGGCAGTAGTGGTTGCCTTGGGCGACCTTGGCACCACAGCTTTTGCTGACGATCTGCTGGGGCTCCCGTTAGGTTCTAGCAGCTGATTAGATACATGGGCACTACTGGCGCCACCTTCCCCTTCTGATCAGATAATCCGTTGGTTCATATTTGTGTCTAGAATACCCATAAAAGCGTCCTCTCGCACTGTGAGACGAATACACATATTGAAATCTAGTTACTAAATTACCACAAACTTTACAACCCCTACGAGTGAATACAAGTTGACGGCTAATGCCGTTTGGCCGCCCGCAACTCCTGCACCGGGCGGAAAATAAGTTGTGGAGGACGTGATCACGTACCATACCTTCCATCTCACGCGCAATACTTGAAATTTCGCTCAGTGGTGCCCGGAGATGTAGGAGATAGATGCTACTTTCCTGTTTGAATTCTTTTCATTGGGGTGCTCTCCTCAGTGGTCATTTTGTTTTCTTTTTTCTTCTCTTCCTTTCTTTTCTTGTTTTGTATTTTTTATTTTTATTTTCTAAAACCGCTTTTCTGCGAATTGCGCGGGATTTGCAGAAATGCGGTTTTCAAGTCGATACGTATATCTTTCCTTTTTGCAATTTCATATTTCATCACTTCTTCAACGTGTCATGTATGAACGCGGGCCTCAGGCCGCGTTCATAGCTTGCGACCATGAAGAAAGTGAAGAAGTGCCGAAAGTGCGGAATCTGCAGAAATGCCGAATGTGAAGAAAAGCAATAGATATGTATCGATTTGACTTCCGCACCTTCCGCACTTTCCGTACTTTCTTCAAATCGATACGTATCTAATGCTTTTCTTCACTTTCTGCAGATTCCGCACTTTCCGCACTTTCTGCAGATTCCGCACTTTCCGCACTTCCGCACTTTCCGCAATTTCTTCAAATCGATACATATCTATTGCTTTTCTTCACATTCGGCATTTCTTCAGATTCCGCACTTTCGGCACTTTCTTCACTTTCTTCAAATCGATACGTATCTATTGCTTTTCTTCACTTTCCGCACTTTCGGCACTTCTTCACTTTCTTCATGGTCGCAAGCTATGAACGCGGCCTTATGTTTCCCTTTTCCAATGATTGGTTTTTGTTCGCAATTGTTTTTCTTTGTTCGCAATTGTTCGGTACCGCCCCGTTATTGATTGTTTGTCATGTTTACGTGTGTTTTGCTCTGTTTACGCATGTTTGTTTTCCATCTTCCTCCTGTTTCTTAATTTTTTTAGGCTGATAGGCTTTTTTCAGGTTGTCACGCGCCTCCCTTGCAGAGATGGCTAGAAAAGGTGTTGCAGACTATGGATATGAATGGTGAGGACAGGTATACGGACAACATCGCTGATGGCCAAGTGGACCCGAGGATTCAGCAACACTTGGAGGTTTGTCTACCGTTAAATTAGGTGTCGTTGACTAAGGAGTATTAGGTCATCCCATTCAAATGTGCCGCCGGTTTTATTTGAATAAAACAAGAGGGAATAGATAAAAAGTAATATTTTGGCTTCAATTAGTAAATCCCTCCTTCACCAATGACCCGCTCCCAGTGCCCCGAAAGCCTTTGGACCTCTGGTACCTTCCATTTTTCAACAAGTGTGGGTAAGTTGCTGTTGATGCCAGTTTCGGCAAATGACAAAGCATTGTAGCGTTTGCCGTCAGAGAGTACCCTCGACTAACCAGATCATTTGGAATCGAACGGCTTTATGTTGAGGGAATAAGGCGATTGAACCCAGCTCTCAGTATTGTTTGTGTCCCAGCACTGCCCTACAATACAGCTTACTCGGGGTCTGGCACTATGACGAGCAACGGTGGCCTTCTTGTAGTTGTGTGGTATCATCCATTTGTCGATATGATCGCCGAGGAACAGGCAATATACACCGACAGTGACGGATTTGTTCTCTGTATAGAGCCGCTTGAAAGCCACAGTGTGGGAATCCTTTGCTATGATGATCATCCACTTGCGCCCACGTAACTCTTCATGGTAGAACTCGGGCGGCTTCTCATCTGCATTAATACAAAATTGACGATTGTGAGTTTCATTAAGACCAAATATGGACAACCCTTCAATAACCCGTGGCTTTCAGGAGAAACTTAATGAACGTCTCGCAAAGCTTTCTAAAGGTGTCGCCGTTTTGAAAGTAAGTGGTGCTTCTGAAGTAGAAGAAAGATCGCGTTACCGATGCTCTATGTGCTACCCGTGCCGCTTATGAAGAGGGAATCGTAGCAGGAGGAGGAGTCGCGCTTCTTCGAGCTCTTGAAGTTCTTGAAGGGTTCAAGGTGCGCCCTCCTCTGGTTTTTCGGAATTCTTAAATAGTTGAAATTTGTGCAAATCCGTATTGTAGGCTGCGAAAATCAGCAAATGGGTGTAAACATCATCAAAAAAGCAGTTCGTCTACCAATCAGCACTATTGTCAGGAATGCCGGATTGGAACCAGCTTCCACAGTTGAGAAGGTTTGTAGCTATGTGTCATCGTTGATTCATTCGTAAACATTTTATCTCAGATCCCACTGAATGACAATACTGGTTACGGATACGACACACTCAATGACAAGTTTGTCGACATGTTTGACGCTGGTATCATCGATCCCACAAAGGTATGTGTAATGAAGTTCTGCTGTGTGCAGTAGTCTCTGAAGTGAGGATCTCTTCCAAAGTCCGACTTTCCTATCAGCTAGTGCTGTTGTAGCTTCCGTGAGTTCCATTTCCCAGAAGTCACAAGTCCTTTTCCTAATATCCACTGTACGTGAACATCCAGAGTCACCTCATGTCGTTCAGGTTGTGCGAACGGCGTTGCAAGATGCCGCAGGTGTAGCTTCGTTACTTGCTACGACGGAATGTGTTGTTAATGAATTACCTAAAGAGGACCCAGTGCCAGGCATGGGCCCTCTGGGAGGAATGGGTGGAATGGGCGGAGGAGGAATGTTCTAAACACCGACCGCTAGGATTTATTTCTAATTTGCACTATTGATTCCACTTGTTACGTTATCCATCTTTCGCTCAATTGTTGCACGTTGTAAATTTAGTAGATAGTAGTTGTTATAATAGGCATAGTTAGTTTTTGTTACATGGTTTCTATCAGTTGTACGTTGTATTTGGAGTAACCATTGCATCTCAGAACGTTGTTGATTTTTGTGTTCAATCATAGATTAAATAAATATCTTGCCATTTTATTGTCTTTGTTACGCCAAACTGCTGATTGAGTTAGGTCACCACTTCATGCAACCCCAGTCCGACGTGAGAGATTTTGTGGCGAGGCCATGCGATTATGTTGTAGTCAGCTGTCTTCAAATGGTTTTTTTTTCTTTTCCAGATCGCAATTCCATGCCGACCGGACGCAGAGGGTCAAACGTTTTATTGATTTACAGTTTTCAAATTAACGTAGCTACTTCCTCAGCAAACATAATCGACTTTCAATCCATCATTGGCATCGCGTGAAGTCCTTCTGACTTAATGTTAAAACCACAGCCAATATGTTAACAACTTCGTTTGGCTGACCTTTCGGCCTTGTCGCCTTCGTCGGAGCCTTAGGAGCTCGGCTTGCTCGAGTTTCGACTACCATGTTTGTCCGATACGTGAGCCAAATAAAGTTGTTATCTTGGTTGTGGTTTAAACATCTTACCGGAAGTAGCTACTTCCCTTCAAAAGGTAGGAGCAGTGGAAGTCCTATTTTCTTGTGAGAACAGGAGCGATTGTTGCTTTTCAACGCTGCAGTTCTCGCTTCAAGGTTATCACAAGATCGCTGAGCTAGGGCACATAGATATCTCAGCCAGCACTCCAATCTACACTCGAAGATAAACCCGATAAACAAGAAAAAAAATCAAATCAAAAATCAGCAGTCCATCATATTGTAACGATGTTCTTCGTACTAAATAAGCCTTTTGAACAGAACCTCCGGGATGTTGTACACGGCTCATAAGATAGAGCACCCCAATGAAAAGAATTCAAACAGGAAAGTAGCATCTATCTCCTAACATCTCCGGGCACCACTGAGCGAAATTTCAAGTATTGCGCGTGAGATGGAAGGTATGGTACGTGATTCAACGTCCTCACTACTAATTCTTATGTTGCTCCTGCCTCGGTGCAGGATTGCGGGCGGCCAACGGGCATTAGCACATTGATGTGTTTATGTGACGCCTCAGGGATGTCAAGGTTAATGGTATTAACACACGGACTTCTTTACCAGCGCGTTGATCACAATTCGGCCCCACCCTAGAGACTAGCGAGGAATTTGCGCATCCCTTAGTATACCCCGCGCTATTCGCTGCAGAAGACAGGGGTGCGATCAGGCGGGGACTCAGCTCTTCCGCGGTGGCGCTAAAACCCGTCCCAACGGTAATAAAAAAGGGTCACATGTCTTCGCCCTTTCAACCTTTATCATTCTCAGATTCTTTTCAGTGATTTTTCTTTCCTACATACCAAAAATTTTTTTGTTTTGGATTTTCGAAATACTGTGACAGGTGCTCATTTTTGAAAATTCGACTTCCTGTGTTCATTAGATCAGCCAGTTACTGAAACAGATAAAAATATATACACTGCTCCACATAATGATAGTTCCACCCATAAATATTACAAAATCCCGTCTTACATGAGGTTTTCAAAAATGTCCTCAAGTAGAAAATTAGGTAATAATCAATACCACTTTGCATGCCAACACCGGGAACTGACTTGAAAGAACAAGGTTTTTTTGTTCATTTTTTTGAAAATTGACACTCTGACAATTCCACAAAATGATAGTTCCACCTCATGTTTTTCCACTGCGTCTCATTTTTTTCGGGTAAAGCTGTCTCATCACCGTTACGTTTCACCTTTTTCTAGATCATGGCGAGAGGACATTCACTGTCGGACTTCGAGAAAGGGCAGATTATGGCAAAGAAGGCACAAGGACTGTCGAACCGTCAAATCGCACGGGATTTGGGACCGCAGTCATCATGTAATCAACAATTTTGTCAGGGAACCAGCAGGATATGGAATCAAGAAGAGCTCTGGGCGTCCTCTCTTTGCTCTCTGATCGGGAAAAGCGCCGTACTTTGAGAGAAGCATCAAATTCCACAACGTCGTGCCCGAAAATAAAGTCAACTTTGAGGCTTAACGTCTCGAAGGAGACTGTTCGGCGTGTTTTGAAAAACTCCTGAGTTCACCTACAGGAGGAATATGAGTTAGGCACTGTTTCTAACAAAAAACCATCGCGAAAACCTAATTGGCTTTGCTCGAAGATGTTGCCGAACCCAATGGAGTGAGGTTGGCTTTTGGCTGCGGTGCCCTACTGCTTGTCTGTGTTGTTTTTTCAGTTTTTTTTTCTCGCGGTCGTGTTTTCTGATGAGAAAAAATTCAACTGCGACGGCTCCGACGAAAACCGATTCCGCTGGCACGACCTGAGGGAAGACAAGTTTCATTTTTCCGGGCGGAACTTCAGTGGATGTGATCTCATGGTCTGGGGTGCCATCGCATCAATGGAACGTCTGAAACTGTGCTCCGTATGGAAAAAAATGATTTCTTCCGTCTATCTAAAAGTCATGCGACGACGTCTCCTTGCTTTCTGGTGTAGAAATCAGCAAGAAAGTCCTGTTTTCATGCAAGACAATGCACCAATTCATGTCAGCCGAAGCACTCGAGCGTGGTTCAGTCGTCATCAAATCGCTCTTTTGCCCTGGCCAGCGAACAGCCCCGACCTGAACCCAGTCGAGAATGTGTGGGGTTTTATGGTGCGCAAAATCTATGCGAACAATGCACGGTTCCAAAATATCCGTGAGCTCAAGGAGGCAATAGTTGATGCATGGCACCAAGTGGACAGACGACTTATTGACAACCTCTATTCGAGCATGGACAACCGAATTTTCCAACTTATTCGAAGAAATGGGGCTGCAATAGATTACTGATTTAACAATTTATTCATTTTGTTGTCAACTTGTTGTTGGATCATTCGATTTGTTTAGTGGAACTATGATTTTGCGTCGTTGTCAAAGTGACCATTTTTCAAAAAAAAATGAAGAGAAAAAAATGTTCCTTCCATTTGGTATTTGGTGTTGGCGTACGAACGGGCATT